CTTTCAATATCATCAAGGTATCTTCTTTCCCCTAAAATTTCCAGAAACACATAAGACTGCCTCTGTTGAATTTTCCGAAGCAATTCAATGTGACGCCAATTCTGCATGGAAAATTTTCAATTAAACAGACAAAACCTGGGAATTTTTTAAACTGAAAACAGGTCTTAAAACTGGAAGTGGTAAGCAACTTTAATAAAAAATCCTTCTATCAGCTCCATTGTAAGTCCCGGGAAGCTGATTTTCTTCTAGAGATGGAAAAATAAAAATCTGAGGAACAAAGCACGTTGTGGTTTATTCTCTAATACATAAGGATATAAGGATATATGTATGGATTCTGAAGGACCATTATATAAGGAGTCCTTATATATATAGATTATACATCTTCCATGCAACAGCTGCCCATAATTATAGGGCACTAAGAGTCATTGTGGAAGATGAAGCAGTCATTTCTCCTCTGCTTGGGTACTTACCTGATCAGAGGTGAATAAGCAAACGAGTACCAGAAATCTTGAGTGCTAAAAAATTCACAAATCAAGCTACAAAAATTACATAATTTGGAAAAAAAAGTAAAGAAATTAAAGAAAAGTAAAGAAAATAAATTAAAAAATTGACTGTTTTCCTTTCCTTAGTCAACTCCTGACTTCTGTGACTTCAAAGCACTCTCAAGCCACCTTTTGAGTCATTATGTAGTCATTATGTTGAGGAGGGTCAGTTTAGTTGTGGGGAGGTTTTTTTCAGCTGGGAAACATTGATATTCTTCTCTTTCTTTCTGAGAAAGACAGACAAATATTTTCACAAGCATGGGAATGGGGAGCATTAGCTAAAACAAAGCTGCCTGGAATCGTGGAATCACACACATTGCCGCATGACAACAGAGTGCCGTGAAGTTGGGAGGTGAAGAGTGCACCACAAAAAGTACACTCTGTAAAGCTGCAGCAGACTGAGGTTGACAGAGTGATATCTGATAACAGCATTCCAAGCAAGCTAAAAAGGCAATTGGTAAAACAAAATGGGCCCAAACTTGGCTGAAGTCCACTTCCACTTTTCTGACCATACCAAGGCAAGCTTTAGCCATGGTTCTTCAATTTCAAGGTTGAAGAAAGCCTTGAGGGTTTTGATCTCTTCTTCACTGGTTAAGAAGTCGTACTACAAATGTACTGAGTCCCTTGCAGGATTTTTTTAAAGAGTAATTTTTGATTAAAATTGTAAAACAAGAAATAAGTTTCTGTCAATATCTTAGATCAATATCTTGAACAGTATTGGGGGCAAAGTTATTTTGGCTTAATTATGTAATAATTTTTTGCCATGACTCTGGTCTCCCCTGAAAAAAGGAACTTGGAAAAGTAACATTACCACAGCACAATCGTTTCCGATACAGAAGCTGCAGAGAAAGTAACTGCTACAGAAATGGTGGTGGTGGTGAAGGGGGTGAAAGAACACTCAAACGAGACAAGGCCGATAACATTCTGCCTGGAGACAAGGAATTAGAGGACAATTAGCCATCCCCAGGCCTAGCTTAACTGAACATCAAATATTGAATGCATCAAATAGTTCTAGCTGAACTAAATATTTAGAAATTAGTCCTTAAAATGTTTTCAGAATATTATCAAAAGGATATGTTTGCATAAAAAATGCTCTAAAATTATCCTCTTCAGGGTCAGTGACTTGTGTTTAAATCTCGGCTCCATGATTTGCGTGCGTGCAACTTGATTCTTTTCCATTAGTGACGTTCAGAACTGTAGAAGCTCCTAGGCTCCTATTTACCCAGTTAACTCACCCACATTGGATACTAATTTCATGACCACTTTTTACAGATAGCAGTTATAAATTAAACAATTCTAATTGCATTTGCAACCCAAATATTAACCAGGTAAGAACCAGAGGAAGAGATAGCACATTTGATGACAAATTCATCAGATGTGCAGCTCTGGTTGGGCCATTAAAAGCAGTCTAGGTGGTCAGCTTGGAGCTCATTGGGTAAATGCAGCTGGCTAAATTGTGTGGTTGCTTCACAATCAATTTACATTTGCATAAGATGGTGCTGTTGTCAGAAGGGATTGTTTCACCTTCTCACATCTGCTTCTTCCTACCCTGTGCCACCCCCTCCCTTGGACCACTAACTTCAGACACCTTGATGTGTCTATTCAGTGCAATGGGTCAAGGATAGATCTGGATTTTTATTCTTTCTTCAATCTGGTTCTCACACATGAAAATGTTCCTATAAAACAAAATGTCTCTCACTTGTTAACATATAACCTGAAGCAAAACTTCATTCCTGAAGACAGAACATAGCAAGCCACAAAGACGTGTGCTGCCTACAGTACAAATGGGGGACAAGAGGGCGCTCTAAACAAAACACGTGTAAAACAGGTCAGGAGCAGCTTTGTCATGAGTTGTCGTTCCGTCCGAGAGGGAAATGGTCGGTAAAGAGCTGCTGTGCAAAGGGTGCCATCTAGAGGGAAGCAGCGGCACAGCTTCTCGACAGCACCAATTGTTCATAATTGATGGTCAACAATTCCTGGGTCTACTTTCCCCAGCAGTCTTTTAATAGCTCTGAAAGTTATTATTATTATCATTATCATTATTATTACTATATTAGTTTGGGGGTTTTTTTTACAAAAACATGCTGTACCAAAATATGAAAATCATGTTTGCTTTATTTTTTTTAATTGTATCTAGAAAAATAGTTGTTTTGAGGAAGTGGATCGTTTTCTTCTTTAATTATAATCATTTAGTTTCAGCCAGAATTATTTCTTCCAGAAAGTACACACTTTGACCACTCTCCTCTAGATGGTCTCTTGGAGGTTTAGGTTAGGTATTAGAAAAAGGTTCTTTACCCAGAGGTTGGTTGGGCACTGGAAGAGGCTCCCCAGGGAAGTGGTCAAGCTGACAGAGTTCAAGAAGCATTTGGACCATGCTCTCAGGCACATGGTGTGACTCTTGGGGATGGTCCTGTGCAGGGTAAAGAGTTGGACTCAATGATCCTTGTGGATCCCTTCCAACTTGGCATATTCTGTGTTTCTAGGGTTCCCATCCACTCCTATTTAAATGAATAGATGTTCTGTCATTGTTTCAACTTCTTACATAGAAATTACATACATATGCCCTCAAACACACACATTTAAATGCATACAGCTGATATTTCCTGCCAACACATTCTTCTTTCCTTCCTCTCCTGGTCAGTAAGATAAAACTGCTCATCAGACGAGCAGACCAAGGTAAGACCTTTCAAAAGAAGGTTTTGGTTTTCCTTTCATTGATATTAACACCACAGTTAAGGCCTAATATTTTATCCCATTGAGAAATTCCTTAAAAAACAACCTGTGTGAAAGTGAAATTTTAAAAGCTTAGGAGAAATATAACTAATGTTTATGTATTTGCAAACCTCACTCTGGTGAGGTATATTACCAGAGTTCAGTTAGATTGCCTTTCACCTTTGAAGTCTTGTTCCCAGGAGACCGACGAGCTAAAATGGGAATACAGAGCTATTTCTCCGGCTCGCAACTAGCCACCAGCTGTTCATCTCCTAAATGTATTCCTTTCTTCTCTAGTGCACCTCCAAACTCTCCCTGTTTTTTCTCACAGCACTCTTAAGAAAGAGCCAGTTCCAACCATCAGACTGAAGAAGCAAACATCAAGGCAATGAGTTAAGAGACTGCAGCACAAAGAGTGAAAAATCCCACCACCTCAGTTACTATCTGCAATTCATCATCAAGCTCAGATACATTAACATAGGCAAAGCAGCTCTCAGTCTTTTTCCTTACCCTAAGGATAACAAACTTAAGGGAAGAGCTACATAGCAGAAACAGCAGGTTTTGCTGTCTCATTTGTGCAACTTGTTATTTTCACAATGGAAGAAAATTCTCTTTTAGAAGAATCGTTGACATTCTCCAAACCCTGACCACCCAATTCTATTTTTTTTTCTTTAGTACTCATTTTCACTGTAACACTAAATGAAACTCTCTAAAATAAACACATCCTACTTATACGAGACATGCTTTGTTTGTTTTAATATACAGATCATTTTCTATGTCTATAAAGTAAAGACTGGAATAATTTTGAACAAAAGTGACACAACAGATTAAGAATTATCAAAAATTCAGCTTCCCAAATTGATAGTACAAATGAAAACGTATGGAATTTACCTATCATCTGAACACAAAAATATTCAGAATACTTGAAAAACTGCTTTATCGTATCAGCACAATCAGCATACAAACAGCCACAGCACAAATTTTTCAAGTCTTTTCACAAACTGGTGTGTAAAACTAATCACTCATTGTCCTATTGCAAGCAGATTTTCTCAGTTCTTGTCTAAATGATGCGTCAGTAAAAATACTGTCTCCCCTAGACTCTTGCATAGAAAAAAGCATAATACAAGAAAACGTGTTACTACTTCTAAACACACTTTGGCCAATCATAGAGTCATTTTCCTACCAGAGACCCCATACCACAATGCCCAGCACTGTTCTTACTGGACACAGGTGCAGCACAGAGCTATACTGGACAACACTCATCCCTGCACATATGGTGTACTGCATTAACCATGCTCTGTTCACCAGTTAATGGGGAGCAAAGGACAAAGTTACCTTAGTTCCTCTGGGAAATCTGTTCTTTCCATGGGATTCATTCAGTCCCCACTAACTCCAGTGCTGTTAGATAGGATAAATGCTTTCAAAACATGAATTCAACAAAATCCATGTTTAACTTCTGATTTTGAAGAGTGGCAGAACCACACAACTTTTTTTACAATTTCTGAATATTAAGTCCAGTCGTAAATAAACCCCAATATAGAATAACAATAGATGTGCTTGCTTCTATGAATGCAAAAGATTAAAAGATGCTGACCGGTTTTTCACAGTTAAAGTACATTTTCACAGACAATAATGAAAGATTCAATTCTACTGGGAAATACACATAGTAAACTCCTTAACTAGCTGGAAAAAAGAAAGAGGCAGTGCTTTAGGAAGAGGAAATTAATTATGCAGTTAGTTAGTTACCTTATCATCTTCTGTTCTAGGATGTGGTCCATTGAATTTTTCTTCCTTAAAGCTTCTAGTCATCTCCATTTTTTCCATACTCTGAAAAAAGGCTGTTTTTTCTAGTCTGTTTCTTTTGTATTGTGTATTTATCTCTTCCAGCCTGCTAATCTTAAGTAGCTTCATACTATGTCCAGTTAATTTACTGTCTGTTCTCCTCTCCACCTTAGATTCATAAACCAATGAACACTCGTAACTTCTGACTTCTCCTCCTTCTTGGCTGTACAAAAGAAAGACAAATAAGAGGCATTAGTGTTATTTATGCATTTTAGCCTAGAAAATTTCTGTGCTGCAACACTTCATATTTCAACTCTCTCTCCTTACACTTGCTGAACCAATACACAAATACAGAGTTTACAGCACTAGCTAATCACAGATACAATTCTACATTCAACATCAGATAATTCAAGCAGGTTACAAGACCGATGTAATTTAATTTGTTCACAGAAACTATGTAGCTCTATCAAATCAATATGTATTGCTGTTGCTTGTAGACCTTGCTTATGGACCACTCTCCACTGTTTAGCTACTTCAGTGGTTCCCTGTTTCTCAACATGTTCTCTTTTCTGTTGCAGTTCCTGCAAGGTGCAAAGACCCCGTATTAGGTCCATAAGGATTTTAGATACTAAACAAAGTAGTTTAGGCATGAACTCTCTTCTCACTCTTCTGTACTACAGAAATACATAATTGCCAAAATGGTGGAGATTTTAGGCCCTCTGTTGAAGGTTACAGAAAAGCACAGTCCTCAGCTGGGTTCCCTCCCACTGTAGGCTCTCATGATGTACCTGCTACTTACATGATGTAGGATCATTGAGGCTTGTTTAATGGTAAGATTGGCTGGAAGGTTATTCCAAGTCAAGCTGTCAGTTTTGATTTTCTTTAGAAGGGATTTTATTCCACAGCAAGGTGGTGGGTTCCCCCCTCAAGTAATCACTATTTTGAGTATATGTTCTACACTTTGAATATATGTTCTACATATATTTGAATATATGTAGAATATATGTTCTACACTTTGAATATATGTTCTTTTGCACAAAGAATTATTTTAAAAGAGCAAGAGAAACTACTCTAAAATTCCTCTTAGCATCTCTGTGTCAACTCATGAAAGAGAAGACAAAAACATTTTCATTTTTATTATTACATCTTCCTTCACTGTACTGGAAATCCAGGTACAAAAGCACAGTCCCAGTGCCTTACCTCTAGAAAGCCGAATCTGTTAAATCTCATTACACAGCTCATAGTTTTCAATTTAACTTGCATAAATACCATAAACTATATGGTGTAATTAAGTATATATATATATATACAACCTTACAGTCATTAGAAGCACAGAGAAACAGCTTTCAGTGTACAACCAGAGACCCAATTAAATCAGTTACTTTTACCTGAACACCTTCCAAGAGAAAATGTTTCTCAGTGTTTTGACCTCACATCTGTGCACACGCAACAGATTAGATGTGTACCTACGTCAACTATCTCCTCTGCCCACAGTTAGCCCTCCAGACTTCCCAGATGAGAAAGATGCCACGTGATATCACATGTGATGCAGGAGATGGTTAGCTAGTGGTGACATTTAGAGATAATAGACAGCAATGGACCATGCAAGCAGCTTTCAAATAAGTCTTCCAGAGATATTTCTGCTACCATGTTATTGCAGTCCTAGATCATGCTGTTAATATGGGAGGGGCACAAACACCATCATTGGACTGTAAGACATTCATCATCTGAAGAAGTCTGTAAAAATATCCAGTCTGCTGCTTCTAGCCTCTCTCACCAGCTTTCATGGCTCTGACATCCCTTTCCATCCCCTTCAGCTGAAAGAACACTTCATGACATTTTCTTCCCCCATTTCTCAAAAGCAGGTTCTTGAGTTTTCCTAAAGGCTCTGACCATCGCAGGTGACATACCCAAGGGCTCAGTGTAGCCTTTGAGCCATTATTCTACAGATTCTTTGATCTACTCCAAGCCAAGGGGTGATGCAATATAATCCAAAGCTGTCAGAAAAAAACAGGAGATGTTTCTAGATGCCCTCTTGCTGCCTCAGTGTCTCCAGCTAATCAAATCCTACAGTGTTTTAGAGTGGCCTGGCTGTGAAGACTGCTTCTGGCCTGACATGACTGCAACCAAGAAAAACCGATTCAGGCTCTCCATAGCTCTTCCAAGAGCACATCATCCTCCAGACTTTGATCACCAAATGTGCCCATCCATCTAATGAGAATGACATGTCCTAATTAAAGGACACGTTGTTCCTTCAAGCTGACCAGTGAGTCAGTTATCTGGGAAAATATTTATGGGAAGGCAAGCTCAAACATCTTACTGAGCTCTATTGCCAAGCAGAGACTCAAACATGATTTCCCTCTCCCCTATTATTATCTTAAGACATCCCTGAAACAATAAGCTAAACAATGGAAAGTTTCTAGGATGCACACACTGAAATTTGTCTGCAAGTGCCTCCTCCATAGTCCCAGAGAAGAAATCTCACCTGGGTCATATGCCACTGAACAACAGGAAACTATGACCTTCACATGGTGTGGAGCTCCATTTCCCACAAAGGAGGGTGAAAACCTTTCTCCAATCATTTCCATTCCCCAGTTTTGGCCAGGGAGATACTTTCTTCTGGGTCATCTTCAGCAAGCCACTTTCTCACTTCAAGCAAAATAACTTGCTTCATGAACTACATCTTCACTTACACACTCAGAAACCACACACACGTCATAAACTAACAGAAATTTGCCCGGCTGTAAGAAAAGGCAGTACATACGTACAGCCCTTCTGCTTTTTCTGCCCAATAGCAGAAAACTAATATATTTGCACAATAAAAAATATAAACAAATGTTTGTAAAACTACTCAGAAATAGGTATTAGCCACAAAGAAGAACACATAAACAACTCCTTTTTGTTTCAACGTTTGGGTTTAGATCGTAATCCCTTCAGTCAGAACTAGATTTACATGACGGGCTGTAAATCATTTTGCTTGAAACTCAGTCCTTTGGCTTCCATCTTCAGTTCAAATAAAACCTTTATTTCTGACCCATTGGCCATTTTCTAACCAGCCACTTTCAAATTTTAAGCCTGGGGGTACTGTTAGCCAGTAGGCAGACTTGTTTACCTCCTCATACATCTGACATTAGGCTGACCTGAATTTTACAAGCTGGGAACTATTATGTCACCATGTATAATTAAACCTAAATATACAATTTAAGAAAGAAAACAAGATGTAATGTGGAAAGAATTACCAGTGGGTCAAGTTCAGGTGGTAAATCAGGATGTGAATGGTTCTGCTTACTGCACCCTGCTTTGAAATACAACCTGCATGCCCTGCATTCTGCATAATACAGAAGAGCTGGGGGTTTTTTAATTAAAAAAGGGGGGGGAAAAGGGGGGAAAAAGTAATTTATTGGTAGCTCTTCCACTGAGAATGAGGTTTTTACATATTTCAGTGAAAGACCCAGCGGGCCCCCAAACTCACAGAAATCGACAATATTGATCAGCATGATCCCATTGTAGCTCCGCGGGGCACGAAAGCCTCGCTGCCGGGGGCGGGGAGCGGCGCCTCCCGGACTACAGCTCCCGAAGGGCTGCGGGCGCCCAGGGCCAGCGGCCTCGCTTCCTGCGCGGGCCTGGGGAGCCGATGGAGCCGACGGACGGCGCCGAGGAGGAGGCGCTGGTGCGGTGCCCCGTGTGCTTGCGGGAGCTGCCGGGCGCGCACATCAACTCGCACCTGGACCGCTGCTTGCAGGCCGGGGAGGCCGCGGCCGAGCCCCCCAGCAAGCGGCCGCGCCTCGCCGCCGCCCCGCCGGGCAGCCGGGCCGAGGGGGAGCCGGAGGAGGCCCGCCCGGCCGAGGGCCCCCCCGTCTTCTCCCTCTTCCAGAAGGGCCGCGGCGGCGGGCAGAGCCCGGGGGCCGGCGGCAGGAGGAGCGGAGCGGGGCGGGACGAGGCCGCCGTGCAGCCGGGGGATGGATGCTCGGCGGCGGCGGCGGCGCTGCGCGGGGCCAGCCTGGCGCAGAAGCTGGAGGGGAAACCCCTGGCGGAGCTGTTGCGGCCGGACACGCTGGGGGATTACGTGGGGCAGGAGCGGGTCCTGGGGGCGCAGACCCTGCTGCGGTCCCTGCTGGAGTCCCACGAAATCCCCTCCCTCATCCTCTGGGGACCGCCGGGCTGCGGCAAGGTGAGTGCGGGCGGTGGGCGCCCCGCCGCAGGCTCACTGCGTGGAGGTTCATGTCCTGCGCTTTTTCACTCTTGAGGCGGATGAACTTAAAGGATGAGCGGGACCCGTTTCTTTTTGAACTGGCTCTTTTTTGTCTTACCGTTTCTTATGTTGGCCGGTTTTCCACTAGTTTTCACTTAAGATTACAGAAACACAACCTGCCTCCTGAATAAAGTAGGAGTGGTTCACTCCCACCAGTCCCACTCCCTGCATCTTGACGTTTGGTTGCACTGGCCCCTCTTGGTTTAAGATAATATTTTGTAAATTCCAAACCCATTGCCTAAAACATAAGCTGTGTTTTAGTCAATGGCTGAGAAGCTTAAAAGCAGCAACAACACAGAATCTGTAAATATATCTAGGAAACAGTGTGAGATACAAGCAGATTAATACAGCGGTTTGCAAGTGCTGGGTTTGCTTTAGCCTACAAATTCCGGCCCCTGAGAGAAGGCAGCTCTGGTGTGGAAGGGAAGTAGCCTAATGAACAGGCACTCGTCCACCTTTAAATACTCTGAAACTGGTTTTTGCAGGATCTGACTGCTGCAGCTTCTCATTTTGCCTCCTTTAAAATACCAGGGGCAGACCGTGGTGAATCCCAAAAGGCCCTGTAATTACAACACAGCAGTAGTGAGGGAAGGACCAAAGGAATGCCTCAAGTGTGGTCAGGAGAGACCACTCTTAAGATCTTGCCTTCCTTTTTGTCCTTGTATTTCAGATTTGGGTGTGGGGTGGCAGGGCAAGCAAAACAGACGGTTATCTCTGTCAGTCTGATGTGTGCATAGCATTGTGTGTGCATGTTATATGTATAGGTAGGTGTCTTGGCTATGTGGAGAGTATGTGTGAGAAATCTGGGATAGGAAAAATAAGGAATTAATTCTTAGCAGAGAAGTTAAGGACAGAGCAGCAGTATGCTTTAAAATAAAAGGAGACTTAATATGGATGGTACTTGAATAATAATGCCAGTTAATCACAGTTAATAAGGCACAAGTATGAGAACTATTGATAGATGAATATTG